TAGTAGTAGTAGTAGTAGTACCACCGTCATCGTCGTTCTGGTACTGGTGCTGTATCTGAGAATGCTAGAATTAAAGTGAGTTTGGTACTGTACGTGCACGAGAACGAAAACGAGCCCGCGTCTGCTACATGTGACATCATCACTGGAATGTCGCATCTCCGTTCGGCCGGCAGCAGTTGCGTCTGACGGACAGTGACAGACCTAAAGATTCAGTATCTGCGCTTCAATTTTCCGCAGCGGGTGGCAGCCGCGATGCAGCAGCAGGCACTTCTTGGCCACTGGTAACTGGCACTGGCCCCCGCTAAATACGCTTGCTGCTGAACTCAGGCTTTTGGCTTTAAACCCTGAGGATCCCCGACTCTTGCTACATTGCTCGGCGCGAAGGCCTGCTGATTCTTAATACTGTGAGTTTCGTGGGCTTCATTAGCCGCTTCAAGGAGACTGCTCCTGTTTGCGCAATCACCTGCAAGCCGCCTACCTCAAACCACATTCCTACATCAACCTTGCTGGCAGGCACGTCTTCAGAGTCGTCACTCGGACAACTCAGCCTGGCCCTCGTTGGCTCGCAGTGGGCGACATTTCCGGATGAAGCAACATGCTTGCTTACTTAGTACTATTGACCGGGGATCGAAAGTTTTGCTAATCCTTAACACCAGACTACAGTCCGTAACCTGTAATCCTACACTTAGACTCCAAATGTCCAATGCGAAGAAGTTCTGCACATGTTGATAGGATTGTCTAACCCAACAAAACTAAGATTAGCAACACCACGAAAACAAATATCAGCGAATAATGGCCACCTAATGCCTAGGGTGTATGAATCACCATTTTGATTATCGTACCCTGACTCAGGGCGAATTGCTGATCACAACCTTCAATGAATTATCTAAAGCCTCATAAATAACTACAGCCTTTAATCCCGACATTCTATTATAAGAATTCCATAGAATTCCGAGGCACCCGAACCCTATAACCCAAACCACCCAGGTCGCGCAAGCCGCGTCCAAGCTCGTGATTGCGGCGATGCCGGGCTGGCCTGATATTGGCTGGCTTGGGGTTGAAGTTCTCGGATGTCGGAGTTCATTGTACCTTTGTTCTTTGACATGCAATCTAACTTCGATTTCAGGGCTACACGGAAGGCTATGATGGCAGAGGTGCAGTGGCTGTCCAACCGAAGCAGCATTTTGCAGCAGTCAAGCTATGGGTTCAGAACTGTGATAGAGCCCAATGACAATGCCGAGATCCTAGTCTTAGTACAGGCTACAGATACAATTTAGACCGTTGATTGAAGGTTTGCAACAATCGGCGACCTATACTTAGAGTCCCGCTTATGATGGCCGGGCTACCAGAGTCAGGATGAGTCAGGTGGTTCGCAAAATTGACGATCTGACTGACTCGGATTCCGATGATGCCCAAGCAAAGGCACGCAGAGTTCAAGGAGGCAATGCCAGCAGTTCTAGCACTGCTGCACAAGCAAGCAACTAGGATTGATTGACGATCTATTTGTGGGCTGGTTTTAGACTCAGAGGGAGATTTTCACAAGACTAATAGCTGATCTTGTCAACTGGCTTGGGGTGTTTGAACCCGAACTCTACTATTTCGAACACGTCGATTTCGAGAGCAGCTTTGAGGTTCAGGACGTATTGGGCTTCTAAGACAAAAGACTTCCTACCCTACCCCTACCCTACCCTTTTGCCCTACCCGACCCGACCCGACCCTACCCTACCCTACCCTACCCTACCCTACCCTACCCCCACCCTACCCTTATACCCTACCCACCCTACCGACTTTACCCTCCCTCCTACCCTACCCTACCTGCCCTACCCCTACCCTACCCTAACTTTACACGCCCGCCCAAGGCAAGTGCCAGACCAAGACGAAGCCCCAGATTTCATCGGAAAGCCTGTCTGAGAGGCTGGCAAAACCGTGTGATTGCCACCAGCGCCGCCTCAAAAGCGGGTCCAGCTATGGCACATGCTTCGCGCCCTTCCTCTCGGATAAGACTTTGTTTGCGAAACTCCTCAAATATGTGCAAGACTTTCAAAGCCTGGGAAAGCTGGAACAAGATCAGTTTGCTACTTGGCTAGTGCTCAGCATCATCAAGAATGACTTGAACCTGGGAATTGAGGGTCTGAACGCTTGGGCCACTACTGTAATTTGGTAGATCGGCTACTCATCTTAGACCGACTAGAACCTGTTGGTCAACCCAGCCCAGGTGTTTCACCGACTTCGAGACCTTGCCAACCAGCAAGGCATAGTGCCATCCGCCGATGGTGCTACAAACTCAAAGCAGTTTTTGAAGTACTACGTGCTGGGCAATCATGTTTGCAGAGATGCGTTTGCGTCCCTACATCTCATGGGGGTCTGTCCACGTCTGGTGAATTTAGTCAAGGCTGTGATGGAGGCCAAGGAAGCCGCACCTACGGACTCTAGATATCTGAAGCGCAAGGAGGGCACGGCGGTGTCGCACAAACAGGGCGAGGTCTACTCTTACCTGGAGGGGTTCCTGGGCTGAAGTCCGTACAAACTAACAGTAACGTTAGATAGTGAGGATTGTGTGACATAATAGACTCCGCCTACTAAGCTACCCGGTTGATACAGCGAGATGGTAATCGTCTTGCCTGCCTGAGTTCTTCACTTCAATGCACAATAAGAACCCCGTGTCATGCACAGCTAGATGTTAAGCGCCTGGTTCTGCAATCAGAAAGGCTGTACCATGAAGTCGTTGAAGAGTTGCCGGAGAACGATCAAGCCGAAGACTCGGACGTTGAAGGAGACCGAAATGAAGACGATGATGAAGATCAGATGGTTTTTATTAGATCGGATTCTGGAAAATCTGAAGCATGTATGACTGCCGGTCACAGTGGTTCGAGAAAGCGGTATCTGCCGCCCGGAAGCATGCACGACCAGTTTCAGCAGTTTTTGGCAACTGGACACGGCACCTGCTCCTGGTATGTTTTCTGGTCTACCTGGAAAAAGAATTTTCCGAATCTCGTCTTCAGGGGCAAGCGGCAGCACGCAATTTGCTCCACCTGCACTAGACACCGACTGTTGATCTCCTGTCTAGATAGTGAAGCCGCGAAAGCACGCCAAAGGCTACTCTACGAGCGGCACTTATTGGACCAGTATAAAGACAGAGAAATCTATTGGCAAGCACGCTCGCAGTCCCGACGGCGGGAGGCAACAGACCTCATTTCTGTCATCTGCGACTCCATAGATCAGGCCAAGTTTATGTGGCCCAGGGCCAAATTTCTGCTGTCCAAACAATTCGACAGCTTCCACCGACCGAGGCTTCATGTAACAGCATGTCTGGCCCACGGCTACCTGGCAAACCTGTTCATCAGCCACAGCGATGTGCGGCAGTGCGGCTCTACTACTGTCGAGATACTGGCCCACACACTATCACAAATCAAGGAGCTGGGTGTCGACATCGCGAAGAAGAACATTCATGTGCAACTAGACAACGCTTCTTCAACCAACAAGAACGGCACAGTGTTTGCTTTCATGGGAGCTTGCACACAGCTTGGAATAGTGAAATCGTTCACGGCTTCGTTTCTTCGCGTGGGACATACCCATGAAGATACCCTGCAACTTTTTGGCCTGACTGTTTCAGAAACTAACAGTACACATAAAGCTTAACATTAATAGGGTTTCATGCTAGTGAGCCGCCCTGTTGCCCAGGATGTCGATGGCTTCTTCAGCGAATTGACGACACATGTCCGCAAGAAGCTGCATTGGGCCGACAGTTTCGACACCTTCCGAAAGGCCTTACAAGATTTCCTGGACATAGGAACGCGACGACATGAGACGCTTCGCGAGGCAAAGATCATCGATCAGCAACGGAATTGGCGTGACTACCTGGGCTTTATGTGTCGTCAGTTGCAGGGACACACCGGTCCCGCAGCCCCTCGAGTGTTTCAGTTTCAGCGCCGTTCAGGCCAGGGGTTGAACTTTGACCTGATTGGCCATCGAATGAGTTACTAGTACTTAGATTGACTTCTGGTCTGCTACATAACAAAACGCCGGTAGCGAAGCCCAACATCAACATAGACCCATTGCTTTTACTGCAAGGCCTCCCCGAGTCGCATCCTCTGCGCCACGCCGGAGATCGCAATGACGTGATCCTCAGGCAGGTGGTCCAATGGGGACTATTTTCCAAACTTTGGGCTTAAGGTTCAGCGGTTGAGGGCTGACGGCTCTTTTGGCGAATTGCCTCTCAGCTCGTTCAACGCGGGTCCACCTTTAAAAGCTTGATGGTGTGCTGCTTTAGTTGATTGGGTTGACGTTAGCAACTCGAAATTTCAATAGTAGGCGGGCGGCTAGACTAGAGGGCTTATGATTTGGGGGCAGGGTGCATTCTGTCTAACTACGTTAGTTGTCGAACCATTTCTAGCAGACTCGCCAACTCTTCAAATAATTCGATACCCCAGGACCCCCCCCCAAAAAAAAAAAACTGACACTGTAAACCAGAAGACTAGCAATGTTCGTTGTTGTTTTACTATGTCAGTCCGAGCCGAATCTTAAAACCCATCCTCGCCTACACCTACCCAACAGTCCAGTCCTCGAAGGTGCAAGCAATACATGGCAGACACTACTTTCCAGCAGAGTTTGGAATTTATCACGGCTGAACACATCAATGCCCTGCCATCTGCATTGCCAGCCAGTGGCCAGTCCCGCAACTACTTGTATCTACTGTTAATTACTTGCGCACTGGTTGAAGGATTTTGGTAGGGTTCAGGGTTGTTTAGGATTTAGGGTTTGGGGGTACTCATTGCTATTTGACATCGACCTGAGGTTATATGGACAGGGTTCCCAAAACCAAGAAATTCGAGACCATGATCTTGAAGTTCGCAGATGTGCTCAGCACAGCAGAGTTTCAGATGAGAAAAGCTGCCGAAGAACTGCGGGCTTGGGTTACAGAGGCACGTGAACAGATGCCTCCACTGGAAGTCCGTCATTGTGCTTTCTTCCCCCGGCACCGAAGTCTGCATTCCACGGAGCCCTTGCTGCCATTGCAGGCATCAGATACAGCCGAAGACCTCAACGACGCTCCCAAGCAAACCGTGGGTCTGGAGCCCGCCATGTCCACTCTGAGAATCAGCAAGACCAAGTTTTCAGTGCCAAAGGCTAAGGCAACAGCAAAAAGGAAACGCGAGGAGGAGGCCAGGACTGCTCAGGCCGAAACGGAGGCCAGCTTCAAGTCCACAATGGTGGGTTTTTTGATGAAAGAGCAGGACTTTGACTTGGCCCAGGCATCTCAAGTTGCCAGTGTGGCATGGCAGAGGAAGCTCGCGACCGAGAAAAAGCCCAAGCCTAAGGCGAAGCGACCTTCGGCTCCGGAGGCTGCGCCTTAAACTATTGGCAAACACTTTTAATTTATCGAAAAACCAGTTAGGATAGAAAGCACGTGGACAGCATGTGTGGCACGTCTCATTCCAAGGACCAGGGCAGCGACCATGAGCCCGTGCCTCTAGATGTTGAGCCCCGCGGAGTTTTGGGCTGATCTACACGGTTCAGCGCAGACCCTTCCCAAAGGGAAGTTTGCGTCCCTGTGAGAGAAATAATGAAGGTCAAGGTCCTGTCGGGCTGATGATGATTTATTGCACATCGTATACTCAAAACCCTCAACCCCAAACCTAAACCCGCAACAATGGAACCCTGAAACAAGCGAAAAGTCCAGATCGTCAAGGGTTCACAATGGATGAATGACAATTTGCACCTCAACGCCGCCAATCTCTTGGAATCCGACCTAAAAAAAAGCACCTACAATTGCCACCCTGCCCAATCTCCAACGTTGGCATGTGAAGTTACACGCCCCGCGAACTTTCAGTACGCTCTAACCAATATTAGAGGACAGGTGCCACTATTGTCACTGTCATGTCTTGCTGTACAGACCTGGGCCAATGCTTAGCAATTTTGCTCAAACCGGCCCGTCATGGAGGAAGAACTTATTTATCGGAAACTACGTGCCAGCGGGGCACCGCGTCGCTTCAGCAGGCAACTGCTGACCATGTGGGTACGGGGCTTCCAAGACCAAGGAGTGAACCTCGGCTCCACCGGAAGATGTTCATGTATAGTATAACGTGTTCACATGTTTTGTGTTAATGTGTGCTGCGATTTAAGCTCGACTTAAGGGACAAGGAGCCGACCCTCACCGACTACCTGGAGTTCAAGATGTATTTCTTGGAGGTCGAATTGGAAAGCCTCACGTCAGAGCTGGCTATTTATTCCAAAAAAAAGGAGCTGGCCTGGCTCAGGCGTATCGTGCTCAATTTGTAATTCACCAGACTCCAAGAGAGAAGACCTGGCCTGCTGTCGACGTGTCATGATACATTAGACGAGCAGCTGGGGAGGTGATGAAAAATGCCGCACACACAAACATGACCCGCGATTAAGATCGGAGGTACGAACCCAAAGGTTAAATCCGAGCTTTGGGCGTGGCTAGACGTACCCTTCTTTCCTAAACCCTACTGGTCCCGCGAACCTTGAAGGAACCCCTTAACTTATAGCTGCGTGGTACACCCCCATAACACTCCATAAAGTATGTCTCTACAAACCAAGTTCAAAGCCCTCTTATCAGACCCCAAACCCAAACAAAGATCCGACAAAAAATCTGTTCAAGTAGGATGCTGACGAAATAGCTAAATATCTGAAGTGCAACAATACCCTCGATTGGCTATTAAAGCCCTGAAACCCAAACCTACAAACATAAAGTCTGAACTCTTTACAACCTCCATCCTTCATACCTATTTCATATCGGCGCTTTCAAGCCGTAATTTACTTTGCCGGGACCGCTGCAGGCGCCGTGTAAAGTTCTGTAGTCGTAGCCTAATCTCTCTGTTATGTTAAAGGTACTTCGACCCCAAGCCCTAATCAAAAAAACAAAAGCAGTCGACACCAAGCGTGACTTCGAGCCTACATCGCCGTTCCTGGCTCACTTGCCCTATGGACAATGACAGTTATGTCTCCCTCATCCCAAGTCCCTGAAACCCTTCCCGTTTGCTTCAATTTAAAGCAATGACAAAGGCACGAGATTGAAGCGAAACATGGAACCCAAATAAACCTTGACCACACACCATGCCAGGCTGGGGCAGTCGCCACCCGACGCGGAGGATCGTGTTCCTCAATTGTGCAAGGGACTTCGGTTCAATTTAGAGTCTAGTACTAAGTGCTAAGGTTGAAGGATCAGGACAGGAATTTTTTCAGGTTGGGGTTACGGCTTGTGTTTTGAAGGTTCCCCAAAATGATATGGATACCGGGTATCACTATTTTCTACCCCTAAACCCGAACAAGGAAACCCCAAGCAAGTACCAAGAAGAGGCGTCGCAAATTAGATCGTGTATATATTACAAATCCGCCGTGCGATTTACCATAAGCCCTTCATGCAGTCCCCAAAAAACGGTGCTCTCGGAGAACCTGATCGTTATAGCTTTTATTGGATTTGAGGTTGGATAAAAACGGCGAGAACCGTGTGGATGGGCATTCCTGAATTTCTTCCCACTAATCTGGTGTGTCTGAGCAGCATGAAATGACCATGGCAATGAATTATGCGCATCACTTCTGCAACCAAGCCTGGCTCTGATTCAAGTTGAGAGAGATAGACTGTCTCACGCTGGTTGATACTAACACCATGCTCCTTGATCGCCGTGAAAGCCTGACCGACAGCGAGGTCGAACCCGAGGTCCCCGCTCGTCGTCCGTCCACCCCGAAGAAGCCGAAGCCTTCCGGCGGGGTTTGTGCAGCAGAGTTCTTTGCGGGCAGTGCAAGATTGTCTTCGGCTTTGACAGCAGTTGGAGTGCCATGCGAAAGCTTCGACTTGAAACTGTCTACGCAGCACGACTTTAGCAACGCGGGGAAGGTGAGGTCCATGTTGCAGAAAGTCGTCGGTAGCAGCATTTCCTATGCACACTTTGCCCCTCCATGCAATTCCTACAGCATTGCCCGTTGGCCGAAGCTGAGGCGAGGAACAAAACATAATCATCATGGTAATAAATAGTATGGCCTGAACTCAATCAGTTCTAGATTCTAGGTCTCCATCGTCGTAGGCATAAACACGTCAAATTGAAGCCTGGAGGTCCAAGGACTACCCGGAAGGACTACCAGCCTCGAAGTCCAAGAAGCCGAAAAGCCGTCATCAGCAAGCAGAGCTTTGCCTGGCCAACCGCATTGTGAACAACACGGCTGACATGATGGACGACCTGATGGCCCGTGGAGTCCCATGCAGCCTCGAGAACCCGAACAGTTCTTTGCCCCTGGGCCAGGTGAGCCTCGACCCTAGACTAGACCGTACTGCAATCCTCAACCCTCAACCCAAAAAGTTAAAGGCAAACCATAAACGCTAAATTAAAATACTAAACCATTAGCCCTAAACTCTGAACCCGATTCCCGAAGCCAGTTTAAGTACACAAGAACGTGTAGAGTGCATATATATATATATATATTTTTTATTTATTTATTTATTTATCTATCTATCTATCTATCTATTTATTTATGTAGTATATACATACACTCAAACATATACGTAAGTTCCTTAGTTTGGGAGAACCTGTCTGTCAATCTTTTCGTGCGTGCGACGGTTATTAGCACAACAAATCTTGTAGTGGATGTCTTATGTGCTGAAGAACCTAGTAATTAGGAGCTTAGTAATTACCCATGTGGCTTCTACCATCATCATACTGAATTCGACACTTAAGAGGTACCCGTACGAATTCCAAACAAATGTGATCAGTCAATGGCCTCCGCTGACTGCAGGCTGTGGCGAATGCCATCTATCAGGCGCCTCATCGACAAGCACGAGATGCACTTTGTCAGGGTGGACTACTGCAGGCGGTGGGTCCGTGGCTGGGTAGGTGGAATGAGAGGTTGATGTGTGCGTTCACGATCCCTTCAATCGACCCCTTGTCCGGAGCCTCCAACTCACACCCGTGGAATGGAAGCCGAAAGTAAATCCTAGGTTCCATAATCACTAGACTTGGTGTAGGCACGTTCCCAGCAGCCTCGCAAGGCCGAACCCAATGCAGCCTAAACCCTAAAATATCCCATTGAATCGCAAACCTGCTTTCGAACCTAATGCCTAAGGCCCATGATGCCCGACAACCGAGGAATAACATAAATCATACACGCTAAACACCAGAATCCCTAGAAACGAGCGAAGCTCCATATCCAAAACCTGAAGCCTTTGAGCTTTCAGCTGGCCAGAGCCATAAGCCTGCGCTAAGTCCAGGTATACTCCCAAAGCCCTGTGATGAGACCCAGCGAGCTTCGGTCTTGGAACCTAAAACCCCAATCCCTAAACCCTCCCCCCTCCAAAAAACAAACCCCCAACCCCTAAACCCCAAACCCCTAAATCCTAAACGCTAAACCCTAAACCCCTAAACCCCAAACCCTTATAACCCCCTAATCGCAAGCACAAAACCCACCCAAGCAGTACGCTCTAAACCCTAGTAGGCCCAACTAATGTTGAACCCTACTAAGCCCTAATAATCCCTCCATGAGCTCGTCCGGGATGAAGCCACGAGCCGTGCCGCCACAGCATAGCCGCCCTGCCAGTCAGAGAAGGGATGTATTTCCGTGGTTTCGGGATTTGCAGGATGGGGCTTCGGGTTCTCTGAATGATATAAATTGAATAAGTACATGGGGTTCGGATACACCCTTGGCCAGGTATGGCTGCGAATACAAGAAACGAACCGTCATGCTGGTTAACACGAGCATCCTCGACCCGCTGGAGAAGAGGTGCAACCATCGTGAGCACTCTGAACGCTTGGGGTCATGGAAGAATAAGAAAGGATTTAGCAGATCGAAGCGTTCTCAGAAACATGTGCCCACCAAGCTTGCAAAGCCCTATCCGATGCAGCTTTGTACAGAATGGGCCGCATGTCTGAAGAAGGGGCTGCCGCAGTAGTGCTGACCTGAAATCACAGCCCAAATCATCGTGCTGTCTCTAAGAGCACTCGGAAAGAGCACTCTGTGTAAGTCCATCTGTCATCAGTCAGTGTCACCCCAAGTTAAGGGGCGGCTGAGGGGGTCTCCAGAACCGGCGCAAATGATGCATCCTTAACTAAGTAACCACATTAATTCATCAGTATTGTCACTGGTTTTACCACTCTCGCCTACATACATACATGCATACATACATGCATACAGACGGAAAGAGAGCGAGAGAGAGAGCTAGGCAGCGAGCGAGCGAGCGAGCGAGGGGGTTTTCGCGCAAAAAGGGCCGCAGCTCTCGGCAATTTTTTCCGACATATTTTCTGTTTTACCGCAATGAGGGGGAGCTCTCGCCGATTTTTTCCAGTGTGCAGCAGGGGTGTAGCTCTCGGCATTTTTTCCCGCACAAGGGGGGTAGCTCTCGCCGATTTTTTTCAGGGCGCAGAAGGGGGCATGTTTTACCGCAAAAGGGGGGGTAGCTCTCGGCATGTTTTCCCGCCTTACTAAGGGGGGGAAACTCTCGCCGATTTTTTTTTCAGGGCTCAGAAGGAGGGTAACTCTCGGCATTTTTTCGCGCAAAAGGGGTGTAACTCTCGGCATTTTTTCCCGCACAAGGGGGCCGATTTTTTTTTTCAGGGCGCAGAAGGGGGTAGCTCTCGGCATTTTTTTACCGGAAAAGGGGTGACTAGCTTTCGGCATGTTTTCCCGCCTTGCTAAGGGGGGGGGTAACTCTCGCCGATTTTTCTTCAGGGCGCGGAAGGGGCTCTCGGCATTTGTTTACCGCAAAAGGGGTGCTAGCTTGCGGCATGTTTTCCCGCCTTACTAAGGGGGGGTAACTCTCGCCGATTTTTTTCAGGGCGCAGAAGGGGGTAGCTCTCGGCATTTGTTTACTGCAAAAAGGGGGTAGCTCTCGGCATGTTTTCCCGCCTTACCAAAGGGGGGGTAACTCTCGCCCTCGCCACAAACACACCCAACAATTTTGTGTTGAATCCGAGGTGGGATTCAACACAAAAATTCGGCCGTCCTAGGGGCCACCTCGCCGGAAACGCACCCGACAATTTTGTGTTGAATCCAAGGTGGGATTCAACACAAAATTTCGGCTGTCCTAGGGGCCACCACGCCACAAACAAACCCAAAAAATTTGTGTTGAATCCCGGTGGGATTCAACACAAAAATTCGGCTGTCCTAGGGGCCACCTCGCCACAAACGAACCCAACAATTTTGTGTTGAATCCACCTCGCCAAAAACACACCCAATAATTTTGTGTTGAATCCAAGGTGGGATTCAACACAAAAATTCGGCTGTCCTCGGGGCCACCACGCCGGAAACACCCCAACAGATTTTGTGTTGAATCCAAGGTGGGATTCAACACAAAAGTTCGCCTGTCCTAGGGGCCACCACGCCGGAAACACCCCAACAATTTTGTGTTGAATCCCAGTGGGATTCAACACAAAAATTCGGCTGTCCTAGGGTGCCACCTCGTCAAAAACACACCCACCAATTTTGTGTTGAATCCGAGGTGGGATTCAACACAAAATTTCGGCTGTCCTAGGAGCCCCCTCGCCGGAAACACCCCCAACAATTTTGTGTTGAATCCCAGTGGGATTCAACACAAAATTTCGGCTGTCCTAGGAGCCCCCTCGCCGGAAACACCCCCAACAATTTTGTGTTGAATCCCAGTGGGATTCAACACAAAATGTCGGCTGTCCTAGGAGCCCCTTCGCCGGAAACCCCCCCAACAATTTTGTGTTGAATCCCAGTGGGATTCAACACAAAATTTCGGCTGTCCTCGGAGTCCCCCTCGCCGGAAACACCCCCAACAATTTTGTGTTGAATCCCAGTGGGATTCAACACAAATTTTCGGCTGTCCTAGGAGCCCCCTCGCCGGAAACCCCCCCAACAATTTTGTGTTGAATCCCAGTGGGACTCAAGACAAAATCCCGTGCAAATACTCGTAAATCCCACGCCCAGGAACACCCCAGGCCAATGAATTCAACACAAAATCGCCTTTTCGGAACGGTGGTCATTTGTGTTGAACCCCACTGGGGTTCAACACAAAACCATCGATTTTGCCGATGTTCCCGGAAAA